ACACACACACACACAGTATTCCTTTTATTTTCTGTGGCCTGAAATGCACAAAGGGAATATAATTCAGGCACCTTGTACTGAGGATATAAACAACAAAACCACCTGATTCATTACTATTGTTTGATTTCCTAAGTATTCTTTGAGGGAAAAACATGTCATACAATAATCGTTGCGAGCCATTTTTTTCTTAAAATATAAATCCACATTCTTAAGCACTTAGTTAAGCCCTCCGCATTCTCATGCAACTTACTGGATATAAGCATAAATTAATGTAAACGTGTGCTTAAATATTATATATCTAAATACTATTTCCAACAAGGTAAACAGACATGTAATAACTATGGGATCGCCAGGGCGACTTGTATTGGCTTTTTTTCCCCATACCTAATTCCTTGTGGGTTCTGTTCACACAGATCCATGACAGGAATTTCCCTTTGCTTCTTATTGAATCAGCCCTATTGCTAAGCTGATGCCATCTGGCATCCAGATATTACTGCTGCTTTCTGCCTGCTTGCTTTCCTCCTTCTTCTTCCTTTTTGAAATGGTTTACACCAAGGTTATTTATGGCAATATGTTTAAGGTCCGAGTATTGTGTTAAAGCACAAAATGTTTTCCTCACCCTGTAATAAAGTTGTGAACTGAAAATGGAGCCAGGTAACTCAAGATTTCTGAAGTGCAAGGTCCAGGCACAGAGGACCACCCACTCCTGCCTTTGAGAGGGCGACACCATTAAGGTTCCCCACTGTGTGCCAGGGTTTGGTGGAGGGATGCTTGGTTAAAATGGCTGTGCTGGTCATGTAGTGTCCAAAGGAACCACCTATTTCTTTTTCAGAGCCATCCAAGCAGAAGTCCCAGCAACTGAAATAGATATGGGAGGAACCTCACTACCCTAGGTGCCCGATTAGTCAGCCCTCCCTTTGTCTCCCTGGGATGACTTCACTGGCAGAGCAGAAAGTCTGGAAAGAGAGAGGCAGAGCATCTGGAGCATGAGGGCCACATCTTTTCTTTATTCCCACCTCTCAACAGATTATACCTTCTAGGGCATTGGGTGGCCTTTTAGTGGTCTGAGGAATTAAGAAAATGAGTAATTTCCTTTCTGTTCCAAGATAGATCAGGTTTTTTGAGGAGGCCAGTTTATTAACTTCTGATACAGCAATCGTAGATGAGCTGTCCTTACATGTCCTAGAGGTCACCAAAGAATCAATTTTGCTCAAGAAATTAGGCAGACAAAGTGTTTATAATGTTCACTTAGCTTGAGGTGGTCGTGATATTTACACATACATCTCAACAAAGACTTAAAGGAAAAAAAGAGGAGGTTGGAAATCAAGTTGATAATTTCTTTAGCTTCTACCTGATTACTAAATATAATTCTTCGACCACATTGTCGTTCTGATCCCTCACCAAATAAAAATAAAATTTTGAGGGTTAAAAAAAAATACCTAGAAAGCAACTCCCATATATTTGTCAGTGGAAGCAGTGAGCTGGACTCATTCTGGCATTTAAATGACTCGTTTTAAACCTAACAATACTCTCATCAGCTGGAGGCAAATTCAGAAAGACAGAGTTCAAATAACAGCAGAAGAGAATTCCATTAGTCATTTTCCATTCTTCTCTTTCTAGTGCTAGCATGGCACGCTCTTTCCTTCAGAAAAATGCAACTCTCCAGAATTTGATTATTTTTAGAACTATATCTCTAACTGTAATTCTTTCTGTGTGAATTGGATAGCAGGGATTTCTGTGGATTCCTCAGCTGACATCCTTGGAAGCAAGTTCACTTTATTTATTTAGAAGATTGTCATCTGTGCTTGATCAACTTTATTGGCTAAATCCCCACATTGCTTAGGCTTGGTTTGGGGTAGGATCTTATTCACCCTGTCCTGGTCAGTGGAAAGAGACAAAAATCCTCACTTAAACACTTCTTGGTGATGGGTTTTAAACTATCAGGAAAACCTGATAAAAACATGTGCCTGAATCAAGACAAACCATCGTTGCCAGTGAAAAACCAGCGTAGAGGGTATAGCTCCCACAAGTGGGATAGGAAATCAATTGTTATATCAAGAAAATATATTCATTACTATATTCCTACCTTAGTATCACATAAATCAAATAAATAATAAATAAACCAGTTTGTTGCTAAAAAAGGCAATCAATGCCTAAAAGACTTTCTGAATGAAGCTGCAGCTTTATAAATCTCAATATATTAAATATATTACCACAATGAGACCCAATCTCATTATTTACTCCAGCCATTCTATGAGACTTATACCTGTATTTGTATCTTCTGTATAGCATTTAGTTTAGTGAAACAATAATACCAGTACATACTTCTGTGCCAGAAAGTTTTAGTTATTGCTTGCCAGGTCAGTTTTTAGTCTTTAATCATGGTTTTCTTCTAAACATATCTTACAGTGGTTGCTTTCCAATGTATTTTTGGCCAGAGTGCTAGCCAGTTATTTTTTTCATTTGGGGGTTACCAAAAATTTCTAATATTCAATAGTAGTATCTCCATATGCTAAAAACTTTAAGCTACTGATTTCCTTATATTATTTAATGAGACAGGCTAGTGATAATGCTTTTATTTTAAATAAGAGGAAATAAATGATATTTGCTGTTTTACTACAGAACTCTCCATGTTATCTGGAGCCAAAGTGAGAGATAATAGTTCTGGGCCACTGTCCCTGCTTCTCTGAAGCAGCTCAGAAGGGACAGCCACAGCTTCTAAACATGACTGTTTAATTCAAGCAATGTGAGTCTCTCTGGTAGGGGGAGAAAAGACTTGCTGACAGTATATCATTTTTTCATTATACTATGGAGAGTAATTATAGGGTTGTTACATATATTTAGAAACTAGTCTATGTGGTTGAAAAAAAGAAAGAATTAAGACCAAGGAAAATTATGTTTTTTAAATTCAAAATCAATAAAAAATATAATATGACATGTCAGACTTTCCTAGGGTTCAGTGCACTAAACATGTAAAGTGTATTAAAATGTGGAAACCATATACCTTTCATTACATTATTCTAAAGCTGTCACTTATTTCATTTTGGTATAAAGGTAATTGTTCTGAGCATAATAGTACACATTTCCTTTACCCAGCACCAGCACTCCAATTACAATCTACTTCAGTTCAGATTAATCATGCCAAGATGGCAATTCCATTACACCAAGAGTAAAATTTAATAATCTAATATAGGGCTATATAGTTCCAGTGGCTAAAAGTACGTGTTTAACTACTTTAGGAATTTTATTAAGGTTAAAGTTAAACATAATGTACTTTAATCAGACCTTTACTGGAAAATACTCATTACAAAATATGGTGGACCATGGTCTATGCAATATTTCTGCAGAAGCATTAAACTCCACTTACAGCTTTCATTTGAGCGGCATCTAATAATGGTAAGGACATTTATTGATGTAAGATGTTCTGACTTAATTTTAACTTTGCTGAATTTTTTAACATTGGTCAAAATACAATACAGTTATGCTTTAGAGCAAATAACAAATTGTGTATGGGAGGGCAGAGTTTATTTAGGTAAAATAATAGGTATTTGGTTTTAAACATATAGGAGCAACTGGCTCCAGTTACATGGCATCTTTCTATGTCTTGACTAGGACCTAAGTGAATTAAAGAGTTAATGCCCATCTGAAATGCTCACTCCCTCTTCAGCAGCAAGAAGACCTGTCAAGCCAGGTACTGGCGGGAGAGGAGAAATTTTAAGCCTTCATATATTCACGTAAACGTGGCACTGCAATCTTTAACCACTGCCTTTCATCCAAAATTCTGCAATGATCAGTTTTTTTTTTCTTAAGGGCTTTTCTTGTAGCAGTAGAAAAAGGTGCTAGAGTAGCTTTATAGTACAGAAATAATCTATGTTTTGCTTCTTGTCCTTTTAAGTGTTACTTACATTTCATGTTACCTTCTGTATAAACTGTTTCTATGTGGAGCCAAGTGACTGAATACTGTTTCTTTATAAATGAGCTTTGGTCATTGTACCAGTCTGTATTTTGGGTTTCTTTTTCAACCTCTCACTGGTTACAGTGTGACTCAGGAACATGATTTGTGTTCTGGCAAACCATACAAGATTTAGATTCAAATAGGATGAATCAGAGAAAATCCTAAATTGCTTTTGAATATATAGGTTATAATGTTAATTTAAATTTAAACTATGTGTTCAATTTGGAAACCGTTTCATATTCTGCATGCTATACTGTGAGCTTCTGGAGGGTGAGCAACATGTCGTATGCACCAATGCAGAGCACAGAGCCTAATACTTACATTAAATTAATCTAGAAATAAGAGAAATTGTTTTGCTCATAAATAAAACTCATCAATAAAGTGCTTTCCCTTATTTTTAAAAATGATGCAGCAGAGACACCTATCAGTGTTTTCTTGTAGAATCAATATAGAGTTATGGATCAGTCAATTAATCTATGTTTGTATCTTCTTACGAAGCATCTGGAAAATCTGTGCCTAGTGGTGTCACAAATTTCATGGCCTTGATAAGACTGAGCATGTATGAGACAATGAGCAAGCGAGGTAAAGACCTGGTATCTATCTGATACCAATCCCAGCAGGAAATTTTGCCTTCAGATACATTTTACTTACCCTTTTATTTTTGTGAGTGGCTATACTGCAAAGCCGAGAGATAAGGATTGTGAAAAGCTGCCTAAAATTCTACATCCACTCTATGTCATCATTAGATGCAGCCTGGGCCTTCTCTCCTTTTGCCTCTTGGAAAAGAGGACATCAGCTTTTGAAGAGTAGAGTAGGCATACGCCTTCATTTTCTTCAAAATTGAAAAGTGTTTAGAGAGCAGTATGTTTTGAGAAGGACTTTGAAATTTTTAAATCTCCAATGTGACAGTCCCAAAGCTTCATTTCACCCTTCATAAGAGGACTGTACTTAGTTCAGAATCTATGAAAGTCACAACCAGTGAGACACAGCTTTCTTTAAACCAATCAGCCTCAAAAGCAAAACAACTTGTGGTTTTGAAACTTACGAGGGCTCTTCTGACACAGAGGCTCCTTCTTCTAGCTCTTGAGCTTGTTTGTACCGCGGCCCCCTGGCCTCTACTGGAAGTTTCTCTGAGAATTAAATGCATGCACATAAAAGAGAAGAGGTTAGAACCAATTTGGGATTCCAGGGAAATTCCTCCCCTCCGCCCCCCCTCACCAGTTCTTGATTCTGCACTACCTAATAAGCTATGTTGATAACTGCAAATAACGTTTTAAGGTAAATTTCTGCCTCTGATGATATCAAGAAAAAAAGGAATGAGATTTTAACATATTTAATAATACTGGTCTCTGTGTATATGTTTCTCCTTTATTATTCTGAAATGCAAAAAAAGTCTTTCTATTGTAAAAGTTATAACTCTAGGAGCACTAGCTTGATATGTCATCAAAGTACTTTTTTGCTATTTCCTGTTGAAAAGAGAGAGCAATGTTTACCTTTTAAAAACAAGCACAAAGTACAACAAATTATACTGTGATACTTTCATAAATTCTAACTTGTTTTTCTTTTGACTCTTGGCAGGGTGTGATCTATGCCATATTGTCAAAAACAAACAAAACCGCCACTCTGATATTTTAAAACATTGCTTTAGATTCTGATTCATTTGCTTTACCACCCCAACTCACTTACAATTGGAATATGAGCAACTGAAGGTCTATAACCCATAATTTGACTTGTTTCACCTATTTATGGAGCTTTGGCCAAACAATTCAGAACACGCTTCCTAACTACTTCCTGGAAAAAAATTGTGGAGGAGAAAAAGAAAGAAGGAGATTATAACTGCTCCTACAGAAATAACTGCCAAGATTTCCATTCTGACATATTTTATTAGGGTCATTTATAGGCATATTTCCTTTATAGTACAGGCCAGTGAAGCTCTATCACCATTTTATAACATATAATTGCAAAGATGAAAGAAATATGTCTATATATGCATACACCATAGAATTATATGGCATTTTAATAATGTTTAAGTAGAGCCAGACTTACTACTTGGTTGTGAAAATCCAGATTTTATTTTTGATAGTTAACCACAAACTGCTTTTCTTTTTCTGAAGTGGTTTGGTAAAGACAGAGCTAATGAATAATTGACTATTTTAAGTTACGGGCATCACTTGTCTTCTACGTGCAGCAACTGTTTATAGCCAGAAAACAAAGGGAGTGTGAAATATAAAACTGCCAAAGCCAATAAAATTTGGTAACATTTAGACACGGCAATAAGGTACCCATAGACATCATTTTACAACTAGTCCCTCTCTCCCAACTAATCGACTCAATGGCGCCATCTCTGATGGCACAAGCCATCTCTGTCAGTAGTGAAGCATTCAGCTTGGCACTGATAGTAGGCTTGTGATACTTGACTGTCCATTTGACCTGAATCCTGTCAGATGTCCCGGTGGCCACTTGCTCACATCTTTGAGGATGCTAATGATAGTTAAGATGAAATTTATAGAAAACTTACTACATGCTAGGCACTCTATTTGCATTATATCTCATTTAATTTTCACATGATCTCTGAGGGAATTACTGTTATTATTCCCATTTTTCCGATGAGAAAAGTGAGAATTAGAAAGATATATAATACATTAAAATTAATCAGCGTTTCTGGTATGCTTTTATTTTCTTTTAACATCATTAATTTAGATTTCAAAATGCCATTCACTCCCACCCAGGGCAAACTATAGTATAATAAAGAGCTATACTGTGGCTGATTTCTGGAGAAATTTGATGGCTTAAGAAAATAAGTTAAGAAGCAAGTGGGAATCATAGTGAATATTAGAAAATAGGAGGAAACATAATAAAATTACTTCTGAATGGCTTGTAACTTTGGAATTTTCTATTTCATTGACATGAACTGTAACAATATTAGCAGAGAAGTTAGGTTAGTATTTATGTTAATCTGAGAGACCCAGCATAATTAAAATAAATCTTGTTCACTAATTAGAACATTCCTAAAGTCTATTTTTAAAAATTATTTGCAGTATCTATTAAATTCTAATTTATTTCAATGCTCCATTTCAAATTATGCTTCTGGAATCCAGGCTCATAATATTGTTTTAATTTTCAATGTAGAAAGCAACAGCTTTCTGGTTCATCAGTTTGAGCTTCCCAATGTATTTCATGCTTAGAAGAGTAGATGCTTTTGGAGTCACTGCATTGTTTTTAACAGCAAGATATGCGCATAGTAATCACACATATATTCAATACTTCTATGATAACTCCATAATATCTCCTTTCATGCAGATATGTCTGATATTTTTCAGTGACAGTCTTCAAACAACTTTATGACTCAAGAGAGCATCATATAAATATTTAGTGCTGAATTACAACAGTTCACAAGAAAACCTACTTAAAAGACTTAAAACAAAATTAAATCCCATTTAGTTGAGTCTCAGTTACACAGAATAGTTAGTAAGAACATGTGGGATACTTAAAATTTTTCTAAGGAGTTAGCAGCATCCGAGTACACATAATGAACAGCCCGGTAACAGAGCACCTGCCAAGTTACCTTTGGGTTTATAGCAGGGGGTGGGCACGATGCACTCCTCTTTAATGTGGGGCTTGGTTTTGGGGCTGCAGCCTCCTGTGTGCATTCCTCGATGGTTGATGCAGAGAACCACGCGATACCTGAGGCCCTGGCCACATGTCACAGTGCACTAGAAGGAGAATGCAAGAGAGAGGGGACTCACAGGCAAAGCTTTGTTTACTCTTCCGTTCCCACCTGAGACTTTTTGAAGGGTTGCCTTTAGATAAAAGGACTCCTGATGGTTTATACCACTTCTTATCCATCATGGGATCTTTATTCTACTTGGTTATTTAAGGTGCAGCTGGCTGAAAATTAAGTCATTTTTGACTTCTCAGTTTTGGATTACACAATCGGTGTTTCTTCAGCACCCACTATGTGCAAAGTCCCAAAGCAAGCAGCAAAAAGAAGAAAAGAAACTGGAGAGTGTGCTCAATTTTGATGATAGACACTATATTTTAATATTGTTAAGTCACTTTGCTAATGATAAAAGAAACTGCTTTTCTTTTTGTCACAAAGCCATGTCTGTGGTTGAGGGCCTAATGGTCTATCTCTTCCTCTCTCTATCTCCTATGCTGTTTCAAAACATTTTGCACTGGCAGCCAGGAAACCCAAAATCAAAATCATTTTATGTTTAAGCTGCTGCAGCAGCTTTCCTAACGCCTAGAATGCATTAGTTTTAGTTATTTTACTTCATCCCATTCTAATTATTTTGTGGTTTCATTACATCTTTTTTTTTTTCTTCAGTGAATAGTATACATAGCTTTAATTTTAATCCATTCAGACCCTTTTTGGATATAAATACAGAATAAGAAATAAAAAAATGAAACCAAGCTTTTGGTTTACTGAGCTCAATCACCACAGCACCTTTCACAGATTCAGGATGAATCACTGGGCCTCAGTTACTCTTGACCGACATGTGCCTCCCCTTGTCCTTGAGGGAGCACGGGGGTGATAAAGGCTTCTTGAGGAAATGTGAAGAAAGCTAAAGATGTAGGTTTACTCAGATGTTTGGCTATGCTGGCTTCGGGGCACGCCTACTTCAGGAGCTAAACTGGTAGACTTGTAGACACCTCCAGAGAAGAAGCAGGGAGCTGCACAGGATAGCTGGTCAGGGCATGATGATGAGAGGGAAGAGTGGACTGATTCTCTTAAGGAACAAAGAAAGAAGGCACAGTTACCGGAGACCACTCCTGTGCCAGCCATTTAGGGCAGTCAAAAATGTTGCAGGGCTGCACGATGGGCATCTTAGGGGTGTACATGCATTTCCACTCTTCCACTGAGGTCACATGACCCTGGATGTCCTCCTCCACACAGGAAACTGCCCGGCTCTGGATGCCCCCCCCACACGAGGAGGAGCACGCGGTCCACGGGGTGGCCTCCCACCTACAGAAGCAAGGGGAGTTATCAGGGCAGACATGCACATTGCCAAACCTCCTCAGTGACCTTTCCGAACCAACCCCTTCCCAGTGCCTACTGGGGCCATCGGGTTCTGAGCGGCTATGGTCCAGAGAGCTAGAAGTCATCTATTGCCTGAAACCTGACGAGTAAGAGAGAAAGAGTCAGTGTTGGCAAAAGTGCCCTGGAAACCTTGCGGCTCTACACTAATGCAAGAAATTACTGTCCTGAGGGCTGTCCGCAAAGATATCTGTGCTGTCTGTAACTTACTCCAAAGAAGGCTGTTCAGTCCCCCTTCCTCTAGTTTTAATATACACGCTTCATGTGTATGAGTATTATATTTTATAAATATATATTCTGCATATATAACATTACACATATACTTTTTATTAAACCATTACATATTATGTCATGACTGAAACTGGTTAATCAGTTAACACTAATAGTTTTCACCTGGGATAATACTTTCTATTTTCAATGCAATACTTTATTACTTAACTTCCAGATACTTTTGCTTCTATAATATTCAGCTTTGGGACTACATGGATTCAGCACAGTTCTGAAGTTCAAACTGTGCCATCATTACACTAAGGAGCAAACATGTTAATATAGGCATTACCTTCTCGTTCCCTAATGTTGAGGGATACTATCAGTTAGCATTTCCCCAATAAAGAACTCCTGGGATTATTAAGAAGTCTGGTTTTGGCTGGAAGGCTAATGGCATTGGAATCTAGAAATATAGCTAAGGGTGAAAATAACAATATTATCCCTTAAACAACAATGTTTAAGGGAATCCCATTGATTTTTCAGATCTCTGCACAGCTCTGAAGCTTTTGAGAGCAGATGCAGAGAGGTATCTTTGCCTGATTCTTTTTTCTCCTCCCATAGATTTAGTGAATGTAGAATTTTATAAAATAGAAACATTGGGAATGAGCTTGTCTTTCTTGCATATATTCTGTTTGCTGATGAGGACTGCTGAGGAACTTTTAAGATTTTTCTTACAATTAGGAGAGAGATCATTTTAATGAGACAAAAAGTATCACCACGTCGATCCACTTGAACAGCAAATGTAAAAATATTGCACAGGTATATCATGGAGACAGTAATTCTTCTATAAGTAGGATTTCATGTACAGTGTGATCCTGACTTGTCCTGTGCATGAGACTGTTCTAATGTATGCTTCACAGTTTGAGAATTTCCCTCCTCATTTTCTTTGTACTGCTTAAGTCTAGGCAACAACTGTTATCTTCACTGCCAACAATCTAAACTTGTTGCCAAATACAACATTTTTCTATGCGTAATTCCCCAGGAGATACAAAGGAAAACATTATTCTGGGGAAACTGAGGCCCTCTGTTTAACCCTTAGGAAACTTTCTGATCCCTTTCAAGAGAATGAAGCAGCTCTGTAGAGTGTTTCTCTTCCAGAAAGGTAAGACCCATTCTCATTTGTCTACACAAATCTCTGGAGAGCTTCCCTCTGGGGGTGGAAAACAGGTCTAATTCACACTGAAACTGGGCTGAATATGTAAATACATACCCGCCTTGGATTTGACCTGACAGTGAAGTGAGAATATGTTTTTGAAGGTACTTTAATCTTTTAGAACATTAAGATGCCATAAAAAGAGTACATATTTTTAATTGGTACTTTAACATCTCTAAATTTGACCCTTCCAAAGAGTGAGTGTTTAATTTTTGTCTCAGTCTAGGGCCTGACCCATAGTGTAATTTCATAAACAGTAGCAAGTATGTTTTTCCATGTCAGTAATCACAGAAAGACAAATTATGTTAATATTATTCTAAGAATTTATAGTATGGTTACAGCATGCAACTATAGCTCTGTATGTAAAACATTATCATATAAATCCTTGCATAATAATAGGGTTCTAAGGATTTTCAAAGCAAAACATGTCTGGGTACTTTACAGAGAGTATAACAAAAGATGAGAGAGGGCATCAGTTAAGATATCTTTATACAGGTATGAGGTGAGTGCTTGGATTAAAAAAAATCATATCCAAGAATCTTTTCCTGGAAAAATAAGAAATGGGTTCGTATATCATGTATTTTAACTCCTTTGGCTTTTAATTTTTAAACACACAGTGAGTTTGGTTTAAGAAATTCTTGCCCTGACCAGGTGGCTCAGTTATTTGCAACGTTGTTCTGTACACCAAAAGCTGTCGGTTTGATTCCTGGTCTGGGCGCATACCTAGGTTCAATCCCCAGTGAGGGTGCATGTGGGAGGCAATGATGTTTCTCTCTCACATTGATGTCTCGCTCTCTCTCCCCCTTTCTCTCTCTCTAAAAAAATCAATAAACATATCCTTGGGTGACAATAAAAAAATGCTGAAAATTATTTAAAAAATTCTCAAAATTAAGAATGGTATAAAAACGTTGCATGTATTAATTATGAATTAAAGATAATTTATCAGATTACATTCTTAAATTATACTCAGATAAGTATTGCAGTCAAAAATGAAAGCAAGAAAAAAATCTAAAAATTCATTGTGTTTTGTATTTATGTTGTGGTCTTAAGCTCATTTAAATACTTTTAATAACGAAGGCTTTCTGCTTTGATCACAGGTAGCTGTCATTTGGGAACCATTTTTGAGTCTCAGTTCTTCTTATAAAATAGAAACATATTTGTTGAAGTAACTTCCATTTTCTGAGACTTTACCTATAAAGTAGAATAACTTTAGAATTAGTTCAGTAACAGAAGTGCAAGGAATGAGAAATATAGCTATTTGCTAATTATCCTTTCCCACTGTAATGCATGGACAGGCCAGTGTGTGCACAAGACAGGTGCCAACAAACATAAAGGAGGTTTGTTTCAATCTGTTGCTGAGAGCACTGGCTTCAGGCATTGGCGGGAAAGCTGAATACTGAGGAAATTAAGTTTAACCTAAGACAGGCTATTAGTCATACAAGAGAAATATAAACAAAAAGAGATCATCGATGTTCAAGAAATTTAAAAGTGCCATTATAGGAAAAACATAAATTTGATGTTGCTCACCCTGACACTCAACTTTGCCTTTATCTTTTCTTGAAATTTTTTTATTGTTGTTCAGTTACAGTTGCCCCCTTTTTCCCCATTACTCTCCCCTGCCCTGCTCACCCTGCCCCCCATCTTGAAATATACAGCCTTCACACAAGCAGATACATGTGTCTTATGGATACTTATTTTGTAGATACAGAAATTGAAATCAAATGAAGTTTTGGTTCAGTTAAATTATCTTTTTATATCTTCATTCCATTATTTTTTCAGGAAGAATTTGTTACTGTATTAGTTTTGTTCTGGATCAAATCAGCAAAATGATACCTCAGTAGCATTCTAGAGTCATTTATCATCTTTATCAATACAGTTATAGGAAACTGGGAGAGAGCTGATTACTGAGGTACCTTTTAGTGGAAGAACTTAAAAACAAGCCAACAACTGTATATGGTATAAGGGTCCCTTTCTACATGCTGCCATTAGAAGGGTGAAAAGTCAGCTCCCTGTCAATCGCTGAAGAGGTTAAGTAGAAACTGGATGAAAACTTGCACTAGTGTACTCATATACAGGTTATACGAGTTGAGGTTATACAAATGTGTATATATGTGCATATTCATGTGTGAATACATGTGCATTAAATATATACATATGCATATTTGTGTAAACACATATGTCAACATATGTGTGGGTATGATTCTGGGGGAAGGAATGGGACAATGAAGCATCACTAAACTTGATGACCTCAAATGGCTGTATTTGGATTCCAATTCATCAAGTATTTGGAGATTTTTCAATCAAACTTTGCTTTATTTTACAGTTTAGAATAAAATTATTTTCTGGGCTTTGTTTAGTTTGAGACTGAGCAAACTATTGTGGATTATTTTCAACTCCTATGTTTGCAGTCTCTGGATTCTAACAGGCTCTGGATTCTAACTAGCAGCTGACTCCCTGAAGTCCTAGTGCGTCCAGAGAATAGAGCAACGTGTCTCTCAGCACAGTGGTTACTGCAGACCCAATTCTCATTTCTGCTCTCTGGGGGGATGTGTCCAGTGTGGAGAACAAGACACTCAGTGGCTAGCATACTCTTCAGCTTCTCCAGCTTTCTTATAAATGTATTAATAAAGAGAACAAGTTATTTTAAAAGAACTTTCATTATTTTTTTCTAGTTTTAAAGATTACTTTAAAAAAGCCAACACAGTGCATGGAATTTTAAAATGTTTTGGAAAAAAGTTCCCCCAAATGTTTTGAACAATAAGGATATAAAAAAAAAAACTGCCTTTTTATACTTAAATTTCTTTGGAACAAAAAGAGAATATCTAAAGGCCCTATTCAGAGTAATAGCACATCTGGAATTCCACATTTATGGTATTACGATAATACTTCAGGCAGTGTTTGTTTAACAGTTACCAATTGTGCTTTAATGACTAGGGTCCAATTGCAGAGGAAACATAGAAAAGGACAAAGGGAGTGAAAGAAAGACATAACATAAACCCATACACTGTATCTAATCAGAATGAATTACTGTGTCCACTCTAATGTAATATGATCCAATCTTAAAATGGTTTTTGAATGACAAGCTTCCAGTCTGAGCAGGCTAGTGTTATTCAAAAGCAGAGCTCAGGATGGATTGCAAAATACACTATCTACCATCTTATTTTCACAGAAAAACACAAAATCTCTATGCACATACAAAAGAAGCAAAAGACTGATCGACTAATTCTAGCATCAGGATGATTGATTTACGTACCGAGGAAGGGGATGGTAGAGGTCATAAGGCATGATCTGCTTGTATCCGTCACTGTTAGGAACAATAATGCCAACCCTCTGAGTAGAAGGTACACACAATAAAATAACACTAAATAATTACATTATACACATTTTTAAAAAGACAAATGCAAAACAACATTAATAAATTGTCTCTGAAAACAACACAAAAACAGTTCAGTATCTTTATGCTAGCATATGGTTTAGGATGGGGCAAGTTCTTTGAAAGGGCACCATTTACTATAATTAGTTCTCTGATCCAAGCAGGAAATACCATTGGAAAGGGTGATGGCAAGAAAACTTGGCACCTCATCATTAACTATGATAAAATAAGCTTGTAAATGTTCTTTAATCCCCCAAATTATACATCCTATGAGGTCATTATTATTATCATTATTAATGTTACTTCCAGATGCTCACCAAGCAATTACAGTTACTGTATCACTTCTGATAAAAGAGAGCGCTATATGTAAGTGTATGTACCTGGAAACTGACAATGCTCTACGATGTGCTACATAACCTGGCAAATAGGTTTCATCTCTTGGCAGATCGAAAGATTTTAATAACATTTGGAAAGCAGCCACTCGATTACTTTATAAGGGGAAGGGGAGCAGGTAAATATAGTAGGCAACTATCGACAAAAGCAAGATCCCCACCAAAACAGAGGTAGGACAGTTAAAGTGAGATAAGCATGAAAGCTCTTTTTTTGTGGCCTATAAAATGTGACATAACGTTACCTGCTGCGACAGTGGTGGTTGTGACCGTCGTGACTATTGTTAGTATACCTAGTGCCCTGGGAAGCCTGTGTGATTTAGAAATTGAGACTGAAGAAGCTATAAGAAGTGACATGATGGTTGGCATGGCGAATGGGTTCACAAGAAACGACATTCCAGGCTGTGTGGAAGGCCCCAGAGGCCTTCCGGGCTCCAAGGACCTACACTAACCTACGTCGCTGAATTCAACTAAAGCCTCCAATTGGCAAGACTTTCTTATTCCTGAGTCCCCTGCCTCACGGAAGATTTATGACTCATGGGTCTATGATAAAAAGGAGAGTACAACAGACCCTCCATCAAGAAGACAGGGGAGACAGAGCTCAATACACAGGCGTCACCCTGGGGCAGAGTGTGGTAGGACGGGAGCAGCAGGTGCTTAATGTGCAAATGACAACAGGAAGTCTCTCTTTTGAATCCTGGAAGAACTCATAGATTCTATATGTATTCCTGGATGGATCAGTATGTATTTATGCATGCATATCTATATTCAATATAAATGTTTATTTTACATTAAATAAACAAAAACTGTTGTTTTGACCCCATCCTCTGATATAGAATGATGTAGTATTTTTTCTAAATTTATTTTTAGAGAGAGGGGAAGGGAGGGAAAAAGAGAGGGAGAGAAACATCAATATGAGAGAGAAATATTGATTGGTTGCCTCCTACATGCTGCCCCGACCAGGGACTGAATCTGCAACCCAGGCATGTGTTCTTACTGGGAAACCAACTGGCGACCTTTTCCTTGCGGGATGATGCCCAACCAACTCAGCCACATAGGTCAGGACTTATGTAGTATAATATTTAAAAAATATATATATATAGTTTACAAACCTAAGCTTTGGGGTAGAAAAATTGAACTGATTATACAGTGGATCAGAAAGAAAAATGGCAATCATGAGGACATGGATATCATAGGAGAAAAGGGAGTGATAAAGAGGGTAGTTCCTGCCCTGGCTGGTGTGGCTCAATTGGTTCAAGTGTCACCCCATAAACCAAAAGATCAGGGGTTTGATTCCAAGTTATGGCACATGTCTAGGTTTTGTGTTTGGTCCCTAGTCAGGGTGCGTATGAGAGGCAGCGGAACGATGTTTCACTCTCACAATGATGTTTCTCTTTCTCTCTCTCCTTCTTTCCCGCCCTCCCATCCCTTCTCTCTAAAATCAGTGAGCATGTCTTTGGGTGAGAATATAAAAAAAAAAGAGGGTAGTTCCTAAAGAAATTACTGAAAGGTAAGGCGATACTAGAGAGAAATTAAATTGGAAAGAAAATGGAAAATGAAGCTATGATTATAGATTTCTGTTACCAGGAGGGACAATTACTGGGGTACTAATTTACTTATTTATCTTACATGATGACATTTTCTATGTTTGTTGTATGAATAAAGTTTTTGTACTCATTTGTATGACTCAATTTTTATGCTGTATGTATGTGTATTACCCTTAGGTAACAGTGTTCATGAGACTAAATGTTGCCTTTTGAGGAAGCTAAAAATCTCACAGCTTTAAGGCAAGAACGGAATGAATACCAAAATTAAACTTTTATCCCCATTTTTCCAAGTTAGAGAAACTTCCTATTGTTTTCTACTTTCTAACAGACAAGAAATCGGGTGTGAAATGCTAATCCTGTCGGCTATTAGAATCAGGTGATCTTTTCATAACAATTCTCATGTCCAATAATTAAAGAAATTATCTATATAAAAGAACTGTATTTTAATGAATTCCAACCTTCTAAAGTTCTTCTAATAACTTGGGACATAATCTAATAGTAGTTAATTATGAAATAAATTAAATTGACTTTGCAGTTATATTTTAGCGAACCCTAATATGCCTACATCAATTTCAAAATGCAGAAATGCATATTGTTGCCTTCTCTTCTGAAAAAATTTATAGCTATAATTTGTCATTTTCAATATTAGAATGAACTGTTGCAGATCTTTGCCAACTGATTTATCAGCTGATGATATTTAAAATGGAGGCAGTCATAGTGGAGGAGACAGACTAGAAAGAAAAAGGGAATAAAAAGGGGAATGTATACAATTCAAGATGTTGGGCTTTGCTTTCAACTGATTTAGAAATTACGTTTTTGTTTAAACTGGGAGCGTTAAACCTGGATTCAGCAAAACGATAGCTGTATTTGTCTTTCTATGGCACGGGTCATAGTGAAGACTCATAAAATGACTCTATGGCACCTGTGAAAACAGAAAGATATCAAAACAATGGCGCTCTGTCCAGTCCTATTCATGCCTATTCTTGGGCATGGGCTCTGCTCTCTCCTGGGGTTCATGCCATGACCCTGGCCTTTCACCACACTGTCACAGGGGGCCAGGCAATGTTGCCTGAACAAAACTTCCTATTGCCTGCCTTCAAGACACTGGGCTTTTATCCCAGGCAAAGGGTACACACTGAAGCATGATGAAAAAGAATGTCATTCAGGGACTTTAAGAAATTCTTCCCATGTTTAGTCCTTGATTTGTATGTGTATGCACATGTGTGTATTCTTACATGTATCTGAATGTGTGGGGCGCGGTGAATGAGGCAAAAATGATTTAAAACACAGTCACAGAGGGAAGACAAGAAACTGTTGTCCGGGGGTAAAACTGCTCCTTCTCCATGGCCTTAACTATTCTGACTGCTCACGTACTTCTTACATTGGGGAGTAAACTGATTCCCTTTAAATCTCCAACGTCAGGGGTTGTGTTGGGAAGGAGAGAAGATGATGATGAGTGGTCATTCTAGACTCATAAGGTGTAAGTGGATGAAAGACACCACACCAGACCCTCTGAAAGCACACACCTCGTTGAACTGTCCAATGCCAAGAGGGCGCTTCAGTGTTCTGATAGGCCCGTGTGATGAAATATTAGGCAGCATATAAACCCGAAGCCTTTTGAACCATTTTTAAAGACATGGAACATCTTCAAATGTAATGGCAATTTTAAAAAATTCAATATAAAATGGAGTGTACATATGCCATCATGTGTTCATATACCATCTATACATTTTCATAAAGTCTGTATATGTGTGTATGGGTATGTGAGTACATATGTGCCTAAACTAAACTTTCTATTGCCTGCCTTCAAGACACTGGTCTTTTATCCTAGGCAAAGGGTACACACTGAAGCACGATGAAAAAGAATGTCATTCAGGGACTTTAAGAAAGTCTTCCCACGTTTAGTCCTTGATTTGTATGTGTATGTGTATATATCACACATATGTATGCACAGATATATTAGAAAAAGGCCAAGAATAGTTGTTACTTCCTGATGTTTAAATTATTGGGGTTTTTTTCTTTTTTCTTCTTTTCAAAAAATGTTTCTGTTTTTCAACTTTTGTATAATGTACAGTCACAGGAATTAGAACACAAGTAAAAACAAAATTCAAGTCAGAGAGTATAAGACAGAGACATTTGGAAATATAAAATATACAGGAGTCTGTCTCCTCAAATTCCATGGGTTGCTTAAAGATTATTGAGCCCTGGCCCTAAAATCATCTCAGGAGCTACTTTAGAACAATATTCCCCGACTTTAACCGTCAAGCCATGTGCAGGCTGACACTACTCAGCTGCAGAATTTACATACAGTGATGAATTGCTCTCTCCAAGAAAAATCCTACTATAATTAACTCTGTGGATGTCTAATTTGCAGGGTTCTTTTTATAATGGGAATGAGCCATAAGGAGTCCCTTTCCTGGTTTCAGCTGTCCCTTTCAGTGACTCTCTCAGGACCTCTTGCCTTTTCCCCTGGGCCGCAGAGCCTCATTTCTGACCCCCTGGCAGCTGGACGTGCTCTAGGTTTGTCGAGCTCAGAGCAACCAGACAACTCATTATCTCCCTGCAAATGGCTTCTTTTCCTGTGATCATTTTTGCAGTTCAGAGAACTGCCATCCTCCCATCCACCCAGGCTACATACTGAGGGACATCTTGGCTTTTTCTCTCCTGTGTTCCCTAGAGGTACGTGGTTCTTCCAGCTGCAGTGTCTGCCACATACCTCTTCCTGTGACCTGAGTTTGGGCCCTTTTGCAGCTGTCTGCCTCCCAACTGGTCTCTTCGCCTGCAGGCACTCTTCGCTGTCATAGCAACCGGTACCTTACTTCCCAACTCCAAAGTCTTCAGTGCCACTCTCTTCTATGCCTGTCTTTATTTTCCCTCTCCACATCTAGCCAGATTTTCTCTCTTCCCCTTCCAAATACCAAAAAGAACTAGCTCTTCTCATCACTTTTAACTCTGTACTAACGTCTAACTATGAATAAGTTTTCTTTAAGCAGCA